CAAAAAGTATCCGTAAATAAAGACGTTCGATATTCACATTTTATATGATTATTTTTTGGCAAAAAGTTCGTTACAAAAAGTATCCGTAAATAAAGGCGTTCGATATGCACATTTTATGAGAATATTTTTTTGGCAAAAAGTTCGTTACTAGAATTATTCGTAAATAAAGGCGTTTGATATGCATATTTAATAAGAATATTTTTTTGGCAAAAAGTTCGTTACTAGAATTATTCGTAAATAAAGGCGTTCGATATGCACATTTTATAAGAATATTTTTTTGCAAAAAGTTCCTTGCAAGAATTATTCATAAATAAATGCATTAAATATGCACGTCACCTGAGCGACAGCACGCCCTGCAGGTCTTCAAGTGGCACCAGCGAGCGCAGGATGGCGCGGGCGCGCAGGCTGTCGTTCTTGCCCTGGGCGATAAGTTGCGCCTCGGGGGCGCAACGCCCCATCAGGTCGACGAGTGTGCAGTAGAAGCCTAGGATGGCGGCCCCTGTGTCGATGTAGTCCACGTCATCCTCGCCTGCTGGCATCGGGTGCTCCATCACACCCTCCGCCTCCGCGCCCATGCGCTGCATGGCTATTCTTTCCGACATCTGTGCGGATGATTGAAGTATAGCAGAGAGGAAAATGGATGGGTAATATTGTCCAAATATTTTTGTCCCATATTGCTCCTGTTCATATTGTCCAATTTTTTTTATTGTCGTATAAGATTACGTATACAAGGTCAAAAAGTCAAAAAGTGCATCGCTATTCTGTCATGTCCCACTCATTGCTCTGAGTGTAATTTAGGATTTAGTGCCAACAAAGTTTTTGTGTGAAAGTTTTAGAACAAAATTTCTGGAATTAAAAATAAAACAAGAAAAAATATTTATCAAGCATCACAAGCTTGTGATTTTAAATGTACAAGATCTGGAAAAAAGATCTACACGGCAGGAATAACAGAAAATACAGAGATGACGTCGCACTGGAATGCAGCATGAATTATAAACTTTTTCATAGTGGTAACTGGACTATAGTCATCTTCGGGCAATGAGCATAGTGAATATAGTCGCTAATTCAGCTCAAATTTAGAGCGCGTAATTCAGCCTAAATTTCAGCACAAATTTAGAGCGCGTATTGCAGCTCAAATTCAGAGTGAATGATTCAGCTCAAATTCAGAGCACGTAATTCAGCTCAAATTCGGAGCGCGTAATTCAGCACAAATTCAGAGAGCGTAATTGAGCTCAAAATAAGTGCCCCCCTGTCAAAATTTTCGTGCCGATTAAGGTCGTTTTAGAGGAACTATATTCGGCTTAGGGGTGAATCAGGAGCAAGTCGGCCACGTAGGGTGTTTTGCTTCTATTTACCAGCCTCTTTTGGAAGTCAATTGCCCGGTAGGCCAAATCTGCGTAATATACNAGATGGCCCCCAGGAGGCACCCGCGGAGTCGCTGGAGTGTATCTATATGTCTAATGTATCTAATACATGTTAATGTATATGAAACGTATATAAAATATTATAAATCATAATATATATAAAATGTTGTGAATAATAATGTACATAATTTTCTTGAATGACTCATGAGAAATGACAGGCAAGATTCACCCACCGAGTCACTGGAGTGTATCATGTCCCTGCCGGCGCCGCCGTCGCTGCTCTCGTACTCGATGCACCACTTGAGGGCGAGGAGCGCCTTAAGAGCCTGGCTCACCGGCTCCCTGTAGCGCTCACACTCCTGAGGGAGGGATAGTGGCATGGTACAGGTCCTGACAAATATGCCGTGAAAAATATGCTTTGACAAAATCTAGTACGATTAAATAGGTCAAAAATATTAAATGAAACAGTAAAATTTGTAACCAGTAAAAAATATGTTTGAAGAAAATAAACAAGGATAAGCTGTTGAAAATAGGGTTATTTCCGGCTATACAAAAAAAAAAAAAATAATAAACAATGGCGTATTTCAGCATTTGACTCATAATCAGACAACACGCCTTAGTCCTGGAAACATATGATATAGTTTACTTAGATAACAATATCATTAAGAAAATCAATTTAAAAGTGTTGAGCGCATTGGGTGGCTCAATAACGCAGTGATGGATGGCTATCAGAGAACAAGATATCCGAGATCATTTATTGAAAATCCTTAGTAAAATGATCCTTTAAAAGCATTAGTCACAAGTATGACTGAACGTACATAATCGGAAGGCATGCCGTTAGGCGTGCTGATTGATCAACGCACGTTATTGTGGGTGTGATAGCTTGGATTATTTATTTAAAACCTTTAATAAGATTATACTTTAAATACACTAATCGTATTGATCGCTGAACGCACGTAATCTGGGAGAAGGCCGTAGCGCTGGATAAATTTTATCAGTTGTTAAAACTCTCAATAAGATGATCCTTTGCAAGCATTTATCGTAATGGATCGCTCAATGCACCTAATCAGAGAATTGGATACCTTAAATCATTCATTTAATGCAACTCCACGTGCTTTTGACAAAATTTGCAATCGCACGTAATCAGAGCACGTAATCAGAGAGCATGCCGTATAGGGCTTCAGTCTGGGTTTCTAATTAAACAACGCACGTATTCGCGCGCTTCATACCTAAGGTTATTTATACAAAAATTAATAATATGATCATTCAAAAGCATTAATCGTAATTGATCACTGAACGCACGTAATCAGAGAGCATGCCGTAGGGCTTGAGCCTGGGGTGTTTCCTCTCCTCGTCGTTGCGTGTCTCCGCGTAGGTCCAGCCGTTCTCCTGCTTACGCGCGGCCCACGCGTCGTGGTAGTGCTCGCTGAACTTGTGCACCAGGTCTGTGATGTCCTGGTCCAGCTCCACGCTGGGGGATATTTGTATAGAAATTGTTTATAATATAGCTCATCGCAATATTTATTTATGGAATTGCAATTATTGGTCAGGTCCAGCTCCATATTTATATATTAACCGCTTATAATTTAGCTCTTCGTAATACTTATTAATGGAATTGCAAATTATCGGTCCAGGTCCAGCTCCATGTTTATATATTAACCGTTTATAATATAGCTCTTCGTAATATTTATTCGTGGAATTACAATTATTGGTCCAGGTCAGCTCCACACTGAGGGGCAATTGCATATGAACTTTGGAATGTAATTTTTTCTCATTTTTTCTGTAGCTCCACAATTTAATTGATCTCGTATCAGCTCAATGTTGTGAGCTCATTAAAAACTGACCAAACAAAGCTTAATTAGTTCTGAAGTTTAATTCAAGTTATTAATTACTCAAGTTGACACCGAGAAGACACCTGAAGGTGGATTGCTGAAGTCTGACTGACTGGAGTCACAATTTCATCATTAATTGGAACAACAAAGATTTTGGTTGATGTGGAGGGTTGGAGGGTTGAGTATTACGGAGGCGGGTGACCCACTTAGACATGTCTTATTGCGGTAGAGGGTTCAACGTTACGGAGGCGAGTGACACACTTAGACATGTCTTATTGCGGTAAAGGGTTCAACATTACGGAGGCGGGTGACACACTTAGATATGTCTTATTGCGGTAGAGGGTTCAACTTTACGTTGGGGGTTGACCCACTTTGAGATGTCGATGGGCAGGGGGTTGTAGGGACCCTCTGCGGTAGAGGACGTGTTGTAGAGCTCGTCCTCGTAGCCGGTGGTGAGGGAGTAGTCGGGCGGCAGAGCACAACCGATGGCAGACAAACACGGCAACGCCTGCGTGAACATCACAAAATTAAATAAAATAAAACAAACGGCGAACGCAGGGAAACGTGTTCAGGTCAGCTGCACGATGATGCCAGTAGGGCCAGCCATCGAATCTACTGAACAATTACAGACTAAATAAGGCATAGATAGATTAATCTTCACCATCTGCTGTGCTTAGTGAACTACGAGTATTAAGTCAGCGCTTAGCAATATCAATAAAGAGCGAAATTCTACACGGATAAATATGTACGGTTCTAACCATAAAAATGAACTTATTTCAAGTGAATACAGCAGACATTAAACAGTATGAAATAGAGCATATCAAACCCTAAAATGAAAATTCAGAGCCAGTTTCGTTCAAAAGAGCAGTTTATGATACGAGTTAACGGTTTCAAAATACGTTAATACGAGGCATACAAACCTTGCCGAAGAGCTCAGGGTCATACTCCATCTTGGAGAGCGACTGGAAGATGTTGGTGAAGAGCATCATGGTGAGACGCTTCTCCTCCTCCGTGGCGGTACCCGGCGTCGCTGCTGAGGCACCATAGTATTTGCCGCACCTCTCATAGTGCAGCGTCAGCAGCTGTAACAGAAACTCCGTATCTTTAGGGCTGCAATAAATAATAATAAGCTCAAATAGGATTACACTTTGAACCGGTAAGAAGAAGTCCGTTGAGGCACCGTAGTATTTGCCGCATCTCTCATAGTACAGCGTCAGCAGCTGTAAGAGCAAGAAACTCCGTATATATAGGGTTGCAATAAATAATAATAAACTCCAATAGGGTTACATTTTGGACCGCTAAGAAGAAGTCCGTGGGGGCAACAAAGTATTTGTTGTTAGAAGATGCAATAGAAATAAACCTTGAGAAATGTTACAATTGGTCAGATTGAAAGAAGTTCGAGTGATGCTGTGATACTTTCCGTCTATCACAGCAACATCAGTTGTAGAAAATGCTTCGTTTAATGAAGCATGACACTGTTATTATACCAAGAGATTATATTATCGTTATTATCATACAATATTATAAAATATGATATCAAATTATGGGTCTAACCCTGAGCGCGACTGTGGTGTACTCTGAGAGCTTCGACACGTCGATGGTGAGCTTACGCAGCAGCGGCAGCAACATGGCGGGCTGCATCTCGCGGGTCAGAGCCACAAGGAAGTCTGACACCATCTCCCGCTGACCCTTCGTCAGGATCTGAAGCCATATAAGGACAGAGAAGTTTAAAGTGACAAGCTTCGTCAAAATATGAAGCCACAGGTAAAAAAAAATTCAAAATGCCGCATAAGGCCTCCAAATATAAGATCAAAATGCCGTATAAGGCAAGTATTCAGAGGATGACGTATATTCAAATTAAAATGTTTAGTTTGTCTATTAACTTTTGTTTAAAAAAATGTCACAATAACATTAGAGGTGAAGCTCACAAAATAAAACTAAAACCCTAAGAACAACTTACCAGGGACTCATATTTTCAAAAAAATAGTTACGAGTCCCTATCTAAAAGCCAATCGTCTTTTCAGCCAATCACTAACGGCTGTCATAGCTAAATAAATCAATCACAGACGAGAAATTGGCCGCTTCGTGTATTTAAGATTTGACTGTATGGCCCCAGACCATTAATTATTGCTGAATCAAGCAACGTTGTGACTAATCAAGCTCATCGTAAAAAATTTAGAAGAAAAATAAGAAGGGCACAAGGCTGTTACATGACGTAACTTATACTTTAATAACACATTAAAAAAAAGATCCAACTGATGTACCAATAGTTAATAGCTAATACTAATGTACATACTAATGCATGTAATGTAAATAGTAACGTACAAACTCGTTAAGTGCTGTAAAAATACAATGAATAATAAAAAACACATTAAGAATAAGACTCGGATAGCGAGCGTGACCTTGCACTTGGAGAGCCTATAGACGGTGTGCAGGGTGGCGTCCAAGAGAGGAGCGTTACTCTCCGCGTCAGCGTAGAAGCTCGAGCGCTTGATGAGAGCAGGCAGGATGGAGTTGCCGATGTAGCGGTTCAGGGCCAACGCCATCTCAGACTCGGTGCCATCAGCCTGGGCAAAAATTATTTTTTATTTTTATCTATTATAATTATTATTACTATATCTAACAAATGATTATATTAATAATGATTTTATTATTTATTCATTTCTTGCATGCTAAGATGTTTCTCCAGACTGGGCAAAAATTATTACTTATTACAAGACTTCTCTTTAACTTCACTTCTTGTTTGTTTGTCTGTCTGTCTGTCTGTCTGTCTGTCTGCTACAAATCTTATAATCGATATTTAACACACTTCTACCTGTCCAATCGATCTGAAATTTTGCACACTTGCGTAAAGTTGGAGACAATGCATGAATCAATATACAGAATAAATAATTTTATAAATTATAATTTTTTTTCATTATTAAAAAAAATAAAAAATAATTTCGTCTGCTACAAATCTTATAATCCATATATGACACCATTTGACCTGTCCAATTGATCTGAAATTTTGCACAATTGCATAAGTTCAGAGACAATGCATGAATCAATTGACAGAATAAATAATTTTGAAAATTTACAAAATATTGATATCTTAAAAAAATGTTGATAAATAATTTTTTTTTAATATTTGAAAATAAAATTAGAAATTCATTGTACATGTGTAACATCCAAGACATTGGATTGCTCAGAAGTATTGTCTTTAAAAATTAATTTTTAAACGCATATTATTTTCTATTATAATCATCTAATGTATAATATATTTAAGTCTCCTATCGTTTGATCGTGTTCACAAGCAGAAATTGCTTGTGTTCAGTTCAAGACTATAGTAATATACCCGGTAATTTTCAATTTATTCTAGAGAATAATATATTTAAGTTTCCTATCGTTTGAGCGCGTGAAATAGAAGATATCGCTTGTGTTCAGTTTAAGATTATATTATTAAGCTCAGTAATTTTTTATATTCTAAGGTATAATATATTTAAGTTTCCTAACGTTTGATCGTGTTCACAAGCAGAAATTGCTTGTGTTCAGTTGAAGATTATAGTAATATGCCCGGTAATATTTTATTTATTCTAGGGTATAATATATTTAAGTCTCCTATCGTTTGATCGCGTTAACTAGAAGAAGTCGTTTAATTGTGTTCAGTTTAAGATTATAGTAATAAGCTCATTAACTTTTTTTAAATTCTAAGATATAATATATATAAGTCTCCTATCGTTTGATCGTTTTCACAAGCAGAAATTGCTTGTGTTCAGTTCAAGACTTTAACAGTAACTAGCTTAGAAGACTTCTCTTTAACTTTCATTCTTGTCTGTCTGTCTGCTACAAATCTTGTAATCGATATTTAACACACTTCTACCTGACCCAATCGATCTGAAATTTGGCATACTTGCATAAAGGTGGAGACAATGCATGATTCAATTGACAGAATAAATAATTTTATAAAAAAAACACTTTTTTCATTATTAAAAAAGTACAAAATAATTTCGTCTGCTACATATCTTATAATCCATATATGACACAATTTGACCTGTCCAATTGATCTGAAATTTTGCACAATTGCAAAGTCAGAGACAATGCATGAATCAATTGACAGAATGAATAATTTTGAAAATTTACAAAATTTTGATATCTTAAAAAAATGTTGATATATAATTTTTTTCAATATTTGAAAATAAAATTAGAAATTCATTGTACATGTGTAACATCGAAGACACTGGATTGTTCAGAAGTGCTGTCCTTAAAATGTAATTTTTAAACGCATATTATTTTTATCTATTATAATTATTATTACTATATCTAACAAATGATTATATTAATAATGTTTTTATTATTTATTTCTTGCATGCTAACATGTTTCTCCAGACTGGTAAAAAATTATTGCATATTTTTATCTTTTATTGTTATTTATACTATATGTAACAAATGATAATATCAATAATGTTCTTATTATTTATTTATTCTTTGTATGTTATTATGTTTCTCCAGACTGGTCAGAAATTATTGTTTTTTATCTATTATTATTACATATAATTATTAAATCTAACAAATAACAATATCAATAATGTTTTTATTATTTATTTATTATTTTTATGTTTTTATGTTTCTCTCGACTTCAGTGGGGAAATAGGAGATTGATAAAGGGTTTGAACTATAGATAGAAAGTCTAAACAATATAATTTTAAACGAACTGATTCGGTTCCAATAAGATTACTTATGAATTTCGATCTTCTACCATCCGTATGCAATACATCAAAGAAAATATTTACGACCATATTTAATATGAAATAAAAATAAAGTTAAATAGCTGCTTCAAACAGCCAAAGAATAACTAAGTGGGTGAAAAAAATGAGAACAGAAATATTAATAAGGTTACTGAATGAGATTGATTTATGCTAAGTTATCTGAATATAGCTGAAGACAAACGAACTTTTTCGAGTAGCGTCGCCGCCCTGAGGTCCATGAGGAAAGCTTCCTCGAGGAGCTTGAAGAAGAGCTCCTTGTCCTCCATGCCGTAGACGCGCTCCAGGAAGAGGACGACGCTCTGCTTGTGTGAGGGCACGAGACCCGAGGGCATGTCGCTTCCGCCGTCCGACGAGTTCGAGAGGGAAAACCTGAGAAAATATTTTTCATTTGTGCCAAAATTTTCAGAATCATTCGCTAGGAAACGCTTCCGTAATTGTAATTATCAGCAAGTAATGACATTAGTTATCAGATCTATTGACGCTTAACGATCTTTTCATAAGAATGATTTGTTGGCAAAAAGTTCGTTAAAAAAATTATCTGTAAATAAAGGCGTTCGATATGCACATTTTATAAGAATATTTTTTGGCAAACAGTTCGTTACAAGAATTATTCGTAAATAAAGGCGCTAAATATGCACGTCACCTGAGCGACAGCACGCCCTGCAGGTCTTCAAGTGGCACTAGCGAGCGCAGGGCGTAAAGATTTTTCTTATAAGAATGATTCGGTAATAAAAAGTTCGTTACAACAATTATTCGTAAATAAAGGCGCTAAATATGCACGTCACCTGAGCGACAGCACGCCCTGCAGGTCTTCAAGTGATACCAGCGAGCGCAGGGCGTAAAGATTTTTCTTATACGAATGATTCGTTAATAAAAGTTCATTACGAAAATTATTCGTAAATAAAGGCGCTAAATATGCACGTCACCTGAGCGACAGCACGCCCTGCAGGTCTTCAAGTGGTACCAGCGAGCGCAGGGCGTAAAGATTTTTCTTATAAGAACGATTCGTTGGAAAAAACTTCGTTACAAAATTATTCGTAAATAAAGGCATTAACTATGCACGTCACCTGAGCGACAGCACGCCCTGCAGGTCTTCAAGTGGCACCAGCGAGCGCAGGATGGCGCGGGCGCGCAGGCTGTCGTTCTTGCCCTGGGCGATAAGTTGCGCCTCGGGGGCACAACGCCCCATCAGGTCGACGAGTGTGCAGTAGAAGCTGAGGATGGCGGCCCCTGTGTCGATGTAGTCCACGTCATCCTCGCCTGCTGGCATCGGGTGCTCCATCACACCCTCCGCCTCCGCGCCCATGCGCTGCATGGCTATTCTTTCCGACATCTGTGCGGATTATTGAAGTATAGCAGAGAGGGAAATGGATGGGTTACATTGTACATATAGTTTCTGTTCAATATTGATCCTGTTCATATTGTTCAATAGTTTTTATTGTCATACGCTCAACACTAAAACGCCCTCTTTCCACAGCAACATGGGTTAGGATTACGTATACAAGGTCAACAAGTGCATCGCTATTCGGCCATGTCCCACTCATTCCTCTGAGTGTAATTTAGGATTTAGTGCCAACGGAGCTCTTGTGTGGAAGTTTTATAACAGAATGTATGGAATTTTTCTAAAAAAAAACAACTGAAAAAAATATTTATTGAGCATCACAAGCTTGTGAGATTAAATGTACAAGATCTGGAAAAAAGATCTAAACGGCAGGAATAACAGAAAATACAGAGATGACGTCGCACTCGAATGCAGCATGGACTATAAACTTTTTCATAGTATATAGAAACGGGACTATATTCTTCTTCGGTCTCGTAATGCTATAAGCAATGAGAATAGTGAATACAGTCTCTAATTTTGCTCAAATTCAGAGCGAGCAATTCAGCTCGAATTCAGTACGTGTAAATCAGTTCAAAGTTCAGTTAAAATTCAGAGAATTCGTCATTCAGTTGAAATTTCAGCTCAAATTCAGAGAGAGTAATTCAGCTTAAATCCAGAGGGCATAATTCAGCTCTCAAGAAGCTCCCTCACCTTGTTGGCGTCGACGATGGCGCACAGGAGGCCCTCTCCCTCGCCTCGCAGGGCGGGCCCAAGGCACTCGGGTTTCCTGATCAGCAGACGGATCACCAGGTTCGCGTTCTCCTCCACGCTCTCGCCTGCACACGAACAACCCGTTTAAGGAACTGAACAAAGTGTCGACGTAAGTTTATGTAAACATAATTGATCAGGCATTTACCGTTGAATCAATTTTGTGACACTAAAGGACTCATTAAGCAACTCCAAAACTCATTAAAACTCCTGCAACGAAGCGGCCGTCATTAATTGTGTACGAGTTTAACATCGGTTTTGTTTGAGTCCGATGATGAGAGTAGTTGCTTTATTTCGGCTAAATCCCGAACCGGCGTAATCAACTTTTTAAATAAATCATGTGTAGATTAAAGCAAGAGTCATTTACTATCTACAAGATTGCGCTCATGAACCTGTATATAGTCTTCTCTTGAATGCCTCCAGAGTGAAATCGTAGCTTCTCTGTTAAGAGGATGAATCGCTTTGGTCCCGCCATGGAAATGAAATATTCTTTCCGCATATATTGGAACTTGACCACAGCTCTTTTGTGTAATGGGTGTATCTCTCTTCCCCCATTATAGTATGTCACAATTATGAAAGTATCATTTAGAATTTAGGAAATCAAAATCAAATGTATTGTACTGACTTTATCAACAGTATTCAGATCTCTTACAAAGCTGGGACGTGTGTAGCGACACAGCGCATTTCAGCGCGAGGTGCTCATTGAAATGGAGTGCTACATTTTGACATTTCCGCTTTTATTTCAGCCGAAGTAATGTTAACACGGTTTGATGTTTGTTTGGGAAATTATTGGATGTTAGATAAAATATCATTGTATGGCGTGAAAATATTTCATTCTATTGAGGATATAGGAAGAATCGGATGAAAAAAAATTGATCCAAATTGAAAAATTGAACAATTATACCTCGCGTGATAATTGTATGCTGTGTGGATACTACTTTCGGCAATTGTGTATTATTGTGTATGCTGCGTGGGTTAATTGTGTGGTGGCAGGAATAATGCGTGTTTTGATTGTATTGTGGTGGCAAAACTGCGTGTATAGATGATTTTAAGTGGCATGAAAAAGGTGCATTTTTTGTAGGCGCTGGTAATACCAATGCTGTTCCTAATTACTAAAGATCCACGTACACCCCTATTTGTGTTAGCATTGGGGATCTGATGAAATGCGGTACAGATTAAACGATAAATGAAAATAGCGGCCATTTTTGTCCGGTGCCGAATGGCGATCTAAATCACCAAATCGATAACAGTATAAAAAATGTTACAAAATTGAATGCGTTCACAGACACAGAACAGACGCGGCGGGTAATGAAGCAGGACAAGTATAAGGGAAATTTGATTGCTATTTCATCGACAAAAGTAGGTATTATGCTTCGCAAGGACGAGCGAGAAATAGAGAGCTAACAACAACTAACTACTACGAATTCAAGTCTAAACATGCTACGGTCATTGGTATAAAGATGCAATTAAATGCAGACTAAATACTGGACATAGAGATAAGAAGGCTGAAAGCGTGCCGATGCACAGTGATTACGGAATTGTTGATTTTGTTAAGCTAATCTCATGCATGCAACGAAGTAATCTACTATAAATTCTTAATATGATTGAAATGAGCGATATAGACATATGGGGTTCATACGAAATGGATAATATGCGACTACAACACACAGTTAACTGCCAATAGTGTTCAGGTCGGCTAAAAATGAAGCATTAATTGTCATAGAACTACTAAAATTATCTGTAGAAATTAGCTACGACTGACGGCAAAGTCAGAAATTTCTGAAAGAGGTATTGCCGTTATACTAGAGGATTACACATTTCTGTGAGAGGTGTAGATAGTTCAGCGAGAGGTGTAGACATTTCTGTGTCTGTGAGAGGTGTAGACATTTCTATGTCTGTGAGAGGTGTAGATATTTCTGTGTCTGTGAGAGGTGTAGGCATTTTTGTGTCAGTGAGAGGTGTAGATAGTTCTTTGATAGGTGATGAAAGTTCTGTGCGAGGTGTAAATAGTTTTGAGAAAGAGCGAAAGAGAATTCCATAACAGGAAAAGAGAGTTTAAAGAAAGGGAAAAATCCTCCGCGACAGGGGAAGAGAGTTCACAAGGAGAAAAAGATAATTTTTCGGGAAGAAAATTAGATCGCAAGAATGAACTGTAGCTTGTCTAGCAAATAACAGATTTAAATAGAGAATAGCAGTTCTGCCACAAGAAAAATTATTAAACGGAAGTGAAAAATAGTGCTGCTGGAAGAAAATGTCTCGCGAGCGTGGCAGACAGTTGAGCAATAGAAAGGATACAAAGAACAATCGACGACTGCTTTAAAAGTTGCACCAACGCAGTTTCATGCTATACAAACTTGAAATCGCACATCATGGATAGATATTGACAAATTTACAAAAAGCTTCATCCAGAATTTCGTGACCTGAAGGAAAACAGGTCACACCTCAACGTTTGGTGAGAAAATGTAAGCATATAAGCGATCAAGTTTCGTGCACGGGGCGAACGACATTAATTAACACGACGACGGTTTCAGCATAGGGTAAGATTAGGGTAGATATTTTAACCGCAATAAAATTGTTAACGAAGTCAAGGCCGGGGCACATCGATCCGTGAAAACGTAAACAAGACATTTGAGGAGCTTGAAACATCATTAAATTTTAAAGCAATGCAAGACAAAAGATAGAGATATATGTGGTTGTTTTCGAAGGCTAATGCAAGATACCTTGCACTTCTTGATCTCTGCTCAGACCTGCGGGCAGAAGCAGGGACCAGTTCGAGGGAAAGTGAGGGAAAATTTGGAGGAAAAGTGAGGGGTAAACGAGGGGAAAATGAGCGGAAAGTGAGGGTACAATGAGGGAAAGTACGAGGAAAGTAAGTGAAAAAATAAGAAGAAAGTAAAAGGAAAGGGAGGTGTCTGTGAGGGTAAATTGAGGGGAAAGTTATAGGAAAAGTGAAGAGAAGGTTATATAGGAAAAGTGAGGGGAAACTCAATGAAAAGTAATTGAAAAGTGAGGGGAGCAATAATGGAGGAGCCAGAGTGGAGGAGAATGCGGACGAAATAAGAGGATCAAATGGAAACTCAGAAGGGCTGAATGTAAGGAAAAATAGGAGGGCCGAAGAAGAGAAGAATGAAACACAAATGAAATGAAAGGCGGGAGAATAAATAAACTGAGATAATAAGACAAACAGAAGATAATTGAACCGAAGACAAAAGGCAACTGCGATTAAGACTGAAGAGAAGGAACAAGCGAAGCGAATGAAGGAAGAGGAAACAAAGAAGAATATCGTAACGAGTGAAGAGGAGATTTGAGCATGAAATGACCATAAGAAATACAGCACCATTTTGGGAAATAAATTATAGTTTAGGCTCGAATGCGCTAAAAAAATGAAAGGCGCTAGTCTATTGAGTTTGCGTTACAATTGAAATTGTCACTATCTAATATGAGAATTGTTAAAAGAAATTGTCACTATTTATTATAATAACAACTGTCAAAAGAAACTATCGTCGTATATGAATTCGTTTAGCTACAGAAGACAAATGCACACTATAGAAGTGTAACAATAATAATAGTACTGATTAATTAAGAAGTGCAGCAATAATAATAGTACTGATTAATTACTGATGCAGACTAGTCTAGCAGTGAGTGGATGAGACTGAAATAAGTGCAAGTTTATGTCATAAGAAGTAACCTTTTAGAAATAAAAATCGCTCATATGGAAGTTAAACAGGGGTGCGTGAAAGCAATGATTCACTAATTGATTCGGGGCAAATGCTTCACAATGCCGTGAAAGTAATGATTCACAATGATTCACGGCTTGATTCGGGGCCAGAAATGATTCATATATTATCGACTCATTGACAGGATTTATTTATAAATAATTGACTAAAGGACGGGAATGATTTACAAATGAGTGATTCATTGTAAATGATTTAGAATTAATTTACTCAAGAGCTGGAAGGATTCACAAATGATTGACTCCCGAATGGTTAATTTGTGTCCAGGAATGATTATTAATTGATTGACCACGAATGATAGACGGCATAAAAATACTTCATAATCATTGCAATGTAAAAGAAGGGGAATGATGAATTGATATGCACACGGAAATTAATTGGGGTGAGCTTATCGTTCATCGGAAAAAAGCTTATGGGCTCCAGGAGGAAATTAATTGAATTTGAGGGATAAATAAAATATTAATTTTATCGATATAATCGAAAAAAAAATTTTATTTGAATTGGAGACTGTTTGAATTCTTTGAATGGGGATTTTATTTTCATTTTATTTATTTTGTACACATTAACAGAATAAAACAAATTTTGAGATGCAGAGGAAGAAAAATGCTACTAGTTTATTTTAGCATTAGTCTAATCAGTATACAGGAGTAATTTATTAAAAAATTAATTCTGTGTTATTGCCTCTTAATCGCTAAGAAGATTGAAGTCTAATGTTTATTAATGATAATAAAATAAAATTACTTTTGTGAAAAATTGTGAAAAAAAACAACTGCGGACTCAGAAGCCACGTAGAGAGCATTAATTAACAAAATTAATTAATTAAGAGAGCATTAATTACAGCGAACAGTGAACAAAATTTTTAATTTGAATTGACAACAATAACATTATGATGAATACACTTCGTGGTACGTAGTATTAATTTCCTTGATAACCTTTCACCCAGACGCAGAACCTGCGCCCCAGACGCAGAACCTGCGCCCCAGACACAGACCTGCTCCCCACACTCACCTCCCACCCAGACGCAGAACCTGCGCCCCACACTCACCTCCCACCCAGACGCAGAACCTGCGCCCCACACTCACCTCCCACCCAGACGCAGAACCTCAGGAAGTCGAGGTAGCGCTCGCCCTCTACAGGGTCCCAGCCGAGGTCGGGGTAGCCCTTTTCGACGAGTTCGCTGTTGCTCTGCAGGCCGCAGCGCGACAAGTACACCGCTATTTTTTCCAGGTGGTGCTCCCTGTTGGTGCATTTTCTGAATTATTCCCGTTGATTTTTTTAATTAATAACTAATTTTTTTTAATTAATGAATGAATATTACTTCCAGAACCACAGAAATGTATTGTTATATCCGCGTTAAAGGATTCAAGTCTTGGTCGCCAGTCCGTGGTCTTACTTGCTGACAGATATGAGAACGAGGTTTTGATTGAATGCATATTTAGAAGAATCAAAAATATTTTACCTAAGGTAACTATTTTATCTGAGGTAAGATCAAAATATTTTCCCCCAGATAAAATGAAAATATCCTACCTGAGGCAAATAAAAATATTTTACCTAAGGTTGAAATAAAAATTTGTGCCTCAGGTTAAATAAAAATTTTACTTTGTTTTATTTTTAAAAATTTTATTCAAAGTAAAAGCAAAGAAAATATACCTCACTCATTATTTAAATTTAACCCCATAACATAACTCCATTTACCTTCCCTTTTCCTTGTATTTTCCCTTCACTTTCCACTGACCTGAGGGCAAGGGCGAGCTCAGTGTTGTCCATGAGGGACGAGTAAGCGACGTCGAGGGGAGTGGTGCCTTGAAGTGAGGGTCGCGAGAGAAGAATGTTGCTGTTCTCCAGGAGGAAGGGAAGGTGGTCGAACATGGCCTTCTGGTTCTGGCGCGACGTGCGGCAGAAATAGCATAGGAACTTGCAGCAGGCAACCACCATCTCGTGCGATGTGTCCTGGTATGATAAATAATAAATTGAGGGACGTTTATTATTTATTGACTATTAATATTAATAAATATTGAATATCAAGTAATAATTAATATATTATTAATTAATATTCAATATTGAAGAATATTGAATATTAAGGTGAATATTAATAAATAAAATAAACATTCAATTTAGTAAATTTATAAAAGTATAGAAAATTAATCACGGGTCAAAAATCAAACCTGGCAAGTGATTAACCACTGAGAGAAAAGTGTTCAACAATAAACTTACTGGCTTATTTACTTTTTTTATTTTACTTAAAAGTTGATTAACTATCATTCTGAAAAATGAGTGAGTTCTAGTCTAAATAGCGATGCACGTTTAGCTCTTGTTTAAGTCATACAGACCCAGTTAGGCCTGGCGAAAAGGAGCATCATTGATACGTGCATGAAGTGTGTCGCTATTTGAAAAATTTGACCCATTAAATTATTTGAGTGAACATTGAAAACGAATCACAGTTTAGATATCAAATCACAGGAGAGTTGCGATAAAATTCGTACACGAAGCGGTATTTTTTATATTGTACCTAGAGTAATAAAAATAAACAATCGCAAATTGTCAAATAATGTTGTCTGGTCTCCATTGAACTCGATTAATATGTTAACCTCATACCTGTTCAGTGGCTGTGGTAATTACGTTGATTTAGTCGTTTCAGAATTAGTTGATTAACCGATAACTAGCTTTAACAAATGGTGTTGGGTTTGAACTAGACCCAATAGTTGGGTCTAAACTAGAAAAATACAATAATTTTACAACTACGCAGCGGCGGTAATAATTTCAGCTCGTCGTTTCTGAAATTAGTTAATTAAACAATAGCTTTCATAAATGAAGTTGGATCTTCGCCGAATTCGATAAATATGTAAATTTCACAATTGAGCAGAATCTGTAATAAATTCAGGTATGAGGGTTTAGTCGTTTCTGTACTAGTCAATTAACTGATTAATATATAAAATGCAATGGTAACTACAATTGTAGGTGCAATTGCTTCGATGGCGATAACTTTCAAATTCCAATCAGTATTGGGTGACACATCAATTTGCCATATTTAAAAAATCATTAACACTAACTGTGTAATTTCAACCGTATCAAGTACGATTGTATGGAATTATTGTAACAACAATTGTAGGTACGATTGCATCGATGACGTTATTTTAAAATTCCAATCAGTTTTGGACGGCACATTAATTTGTAAAAAAAATAAATAAAATCATCAATACTTACTGTATAATTTCAACGGTATCAAGTACGATTGTATGGAATTATTCATAAATATAGAGTACATCACAGTCCAGCAGCTATCTCAATCAATCGTCAGTTATGGAAAGATCGGGTTCCAAAGGCCGGATCCCTAGTGAATCAAGTCATGAAAAATACATGAATCGGCAACAGGCCATGGGCCTTTTTCTTCAGTGCCGACACTTCAATTATATTATATTCTTTCTTCAGTGCCGACACTTCTATTCTATTATATTATTTCTTCAGCGCCGACACTTCTATTCTATTCTATTCTTTCTTCAGTGCCGACACTTCTATTCTATTATATTATTTCTTCAGTGCCGACACTTCTATTCTAACTTAAGTTGACAGTGAGTTATGTCTCATCTCGTTACTTCAAGAATATATATTAACTGTATCGTATTCTTACTTTCCAAGTGACATTTATTCGAACAAATCGGCCTAGTCGATAGCGGACTTGAACGCAAAACTGCTATTTCGACAGCTCCTTCGTTGCAACGCAGTGTAGTCATATATTTGGCCTGAAATCCATCACGCTTGGCCCAAAATTTCATAGCATACTTAAGTAAGACCTATTCAACGCCTGACGTTACAAAATCGAAACCCATCATGCACAAAAATTACACAGTACGCTCAATCGATCGTTGTCAGATTTTTTTTCGCCTCGTCTTCATTTAGCGCGCTAAAAGCTAACTAGGTAACTTTCAGACGCCTTAATTTATCAAATTGGATCTGATTTTGATTACCATTTAAAAATCAAATCGTTTTATTCAAAAAAATCCGTTTGTTTTGTTTCTGCGAAAAATTAACGTGTTGAAGTTCTAGCACCTATATACATACACTGTGTCCCAAAATAAACGATACTCAAGTTTGAATGGCTGTAACTCAAAAAGTAATAGAGTTAAACAAATTTGGAAGGTCAGAATTTGTTCCCTATGTTTTTCTGCATCTTTTCACCAAAAGCCAGACAGATCGATGTAGCCATAAGCGTTTGATAGAACTTTCAGTGACATGTGCTAAAATCGTGCTTGCGCAAAGTTTTAGTTAGATCATTTTGCATAATCATTACGTTGTCTTGACATGTTTTCTTTCCGCTGTTTTATTTTTTGTATCTTTGGTGAGACAAAAACATGGCATCTTTGGTGAGAGGCAATCATGACAGTCTTTGGTGAGACACAATCATGGCAATCTTTGGTGAGACACAATCATGACAATCTTTGGTGAGACACAATCATGGCAATCTTTGGTGAGACACAAGAATGGCAATCTTTGGTGAGAGGCAATCATGACAATCTTTGGTGAGAAACAACAATCATGGCAATCTTTGGTGAGAGCAAATCATGGCAATCTTTGGTGAGAGACAATCATGGCAATCTTTGGTGAGACAAAAACATGGCAATCTTTGGTGAGAGACAATCATGGCAATCTTTGGTGAGAGGGAATTTCAAAACCAAAGATTGCCTCTCACCAAAGATTGCTTCTCACCAAAGATTGCCTTTCACCAAAGATTGCCATGATTGAGTCTTACCAAAGATTGTCATAATTGTCTCTCACCAAAGATTGTCATGATTGTTGTCTCTCACCAAAGATTGTCATGATTGCCTATCACCAAAGATTGCCATGATTGTGTCTCACCAAAGATTGCTATTCTTGTGTCTCACCAAAGATTGCCATGATTGTTTCTCACCAAAGATTGTCCTGATTGTTTCTCACCAAAGATTGCCATGATTGTGTCTCACAAAAGATTGTCATGATTGCCTCTCACCAAAGATTGCCATGTTTTTGTCTGACCAAAGATACAAAAAAAAACAGCGAAAAGAAAACATGTCAAGACAACGTAATGATTATGCAAAATGATCTTACTAAAACTTTGCCCAAGCACGATTTTAGCACATGTCACTGAAAGTTCTATCAAACGCTTATGGCTACATCGATCTGTCTGATTTTTGATGGAGAGATGCAGAAAAACATAGGGAACAAATCTTGACCTTCCAAAAATTTTTAACTCTATTACTTTTTGAGTTACAGCCATTCAAAGTTAAGTATCGTTTTTTTGGACACCCTGTATATGCGTCAAATCGGTTCCGATCGCAACGTAATCGACAACGTTGCAATTGTTTTTAAAATTGCCCATCAAGCGCAATGTTGAAATTCATTCGCTTTTCCATTAAACGTAATAAAGAGCAATGTTCCGCATTCATCTTGCACATTGAAGTGCAATATTTGAATTCAATCGCTCTTTTCTCTTCAAAACGATAAAATGATCAATCTCTGGGCAAAATTCATTAGCAATCGGAATGAGATGGTAATCTACACGTTTTCCCACAATAATAACTCCATCAGTTAAGAGCCGATTTTAGTGAAATGTAAAAAACAGGAAAATATTGCTCTATTGATATCAATTAAATTTCCCCGAGCATCGTGAATTATTTCTTAGTGTCTCTCAATTCATAGCCCATCTGCATGGAAGTCAATATATTGCCCTTGGCATTAATGTGGCGTTTTCAATCGTAATAGTTTTAGTCTGTGAGCCACATCGATTCTATTTATAGAATAAATTTTTTGGGGTTGATTCATTCGGCATAAATGATTTCTTCATTTTAATTTGACTGAATTTTTCTATTACCTCCTACGTCAATGTGTCATCATGAGCACGGTTAGCGACGTATTACTAAATGCGCGAATATAACTTATTTACATTAACTTTTGTTGTTATAGGATTCAGTCGTTGTTTTGTTTCAGTGAGTTCCTTTCACGTGTTTGAGTTTTTCTCCAAAAATCACAGTCTCTGTCATGTTCAGGTTAATTTGCAATTAAAATTAAACTTTTTCAAAAAACAATAATGGTAGCTAGCGTGCATTACGTTCAGTCAGTTTTGTTATTTTTTAGAAAGCGATTTCATGATTTTGGAATTCATTTGAAAAATGTTTAGGATTAAATCTGGATTAATGACACAAACTTATGCGGGCTCAACGGGGCAGGAAAAAGTTGACTTGCTTTTTCTCCCGTTTATTTCATTTACTTGAGTGACGTAAGCTGAGTGACGTAAGCTGAAAATAAGATTTAATATTAGTTAA